CCCCAAAACCCCAAAACCCCAAAACCCCAAAACCCCAAAACCCCTTTAAAAATTAGTAATTTTGAAATATATTAAAAATATGGCTACTATTCAGCTGAATTTTACCACAGATTTTGAGACCAACCAGGAGAGCGAAGATGCCAAGCAGATTGACATTTTGAAGGAGCAGATCCAGGCTATAGCAACTTGGGACAAGGGCCATCAGACATTTCCTTATAGTTTTAACTTTATTATTCAAATCGGTAAATTTTTGAGTATAAATCTAGTCCGTGAATTGACACTCTGATATGATATTTATGACGAAATTAACCAAATCCTGACACAAGGTATTAAAGCTTGTGTTAACAACGAACGGTTTATCATGAACAGAAGTGAAGGATACACCTTATTGACCAACCAGATCAATGCATATAAGATTTTGTTTTCATATTTCGAGAAGAGTTGGGTAAGTGCTTAGAATTTTTTACCTATAATCTCTTCACATATAAAAATAATTAAAGTTAGATGGCTTGATAGCTTATGTTATTCAAATTCCCACTGAAAATTTAAGATTCTCCTCTAAATTTCTATTTATTTAGGCAGTAGAAACTTCTGACTCTATTCAGGGAATCTATATTAGAGAATTACAGAACAGTATTAGTGAAGAGAGTTCTCAAGAGATGATCCAAGAATTACTTAAAATCATCGCTGAATTTAGAGAAGTCTCCCAAAGATCCAAATTTGAAGAAGCTCATAATATCACGATGATATTAATCGATCTCGGAAAATACAAAGAATATTTTGAGGCTATTCTCAAGACTGAGACGGGGAGATACTACTCCAATAAAGCTAGGTACGATCTCCCTTAAATCTCTAGGGAAATATTCAAGGAGCAACCCTTTGATATTCATGACTACATCAAGTTCATCGAATCTTCTCTTGAGAAGGAAAGAATCATCTGTAGCCAAATGCTAGTGGGGAGTTCAGAATACCTTATCATCGAGACTCTTCATGTAAGATCCAAGACTGATTTTTAGAAAGAACTAGTTGAGAACTACTATAAAATCTTACTCGATGATGGTCTTAGAGTTCTGATCAAAAACAAGTCGACTTCTGAGATCTCATGACTGTATAGATACATCTCGAAAGTGAACCTGCTGAAGGAAATGTTTGACTCTTTCCAGCAAGCAATTTGTGATTATGGAGTAGACATAATCAAAAAGTAAGTAATTTCAATAATTTTGTAGGCAAACAGACGGTAAGACACATAATGAATAATTCCTAGACGAAGAGGAGATGAATGATGTTGGCTCAGCCCCTGCTGATTCTCAGAAGAACCCTAAGAAAATTATTCCTGAACTGATTTCGTAAGTCTCAGTCCTAATTATAGATTGAGGAAAGCTACCAAAGAAATTTTGGAGAAGCTTGATCGCCAATGTGACTCTCAAGAACACAGAAATGAGTTTAGGAAAGCAGAAAAAGGGGCATTTGAGAAGATCTGAGAATATAACTCGGATCTTATAGCAGAATATCTTGCTAAACTCTTCGGATTCTACCTCAACAAGAACTCAAAAATGAAAACTCCAAAGACAGACCAGCAGATAGAGGAAGAATTATTCATTAATTTGATCGAAATGCTCAGATGTATTAAGTCTATTGATGTCTTCTCCCATTTCTTCAGAAAGGATATGAGCGCAAGACTCTTGTTCAGGTAATTCATTACTCTCAAAAATAGGCAATTCAGAAGCGAAGAGCTAGAGGAGAGAATAATGGCTTCATTTTTACAAGAGTGAGGTAAAAATTACATCAAAAAGATGCAGTTGATGCTTTCTGAGGTCAAAAAAGAAAGTTTAAAAGAAGTAGAAAGCATTGTGAGTGATTCCATGTCTTCTAACTCAAATCCTAAGCTCCAGAATGAAGGAGTTATAGAAGGTATATTCCTAAAAGATCGATCTTTAGAAAATAAGAAGGAAGAAGATTCTGTATTTAAGTGCCAGATTCTATCCCAAAACAATTGGTCTTTGCCTACAAAATCCATCATAAAGATACCCAAGGAAGTTATGGATCAAGAGGATGCATTTTCTGCTGTTTATACTGAGAAATTTAAGAAGAAGAAACTCATTTTTAACTACACTCATTCTACTTGTATTATTCAGGCCAAACATTTGTCAGTTCCATTCGAGATACATACAAGCCAGATTTTAGGCCTAGCGTTACTAAACTTTAATGATAAACATGAGATTGAACAGACTGTTGAGCTTCAGCCTTACTTAAAACTGTTGTAAGGTATCTAAGGTATATTATAGAACTCCTTTGTTAATTGAGGGACCAAAGAAACCAGGAAATGATCCAAGTATTATCTAACTTACTAAGATTTAGACTACCTTATAGACACAGCTTGCTATGTTCTAAATCCAAACTATAAAGTCCCTGATACAAGAAAGAGTAAAGAATAAGAGTAATAGTATAGTTACAATCCTGAGAGAAGCAACAGAGGATGATGATAGAAGGGAAGGTGATTCTGAGAGTGCCAAATCTGAAATAATATCCAAGATCAACGAAAATAGGAAGTTCCAAATTATGGTAATCATCTTACTAAAATTTAGGCAATCATGGCAAGAATTTTGAAGAGAGCAAAGAGGTTGACTGAGGAAGAGTACTTCGCAAAGACTCTTGAACAGACTACACTTCCTATGACTCAAGAACTCTTCAATGAAACAGGTATGCTCTAAGTCTTATTTAAAAATAGTGGCTTCTCTTGTAGACAGAATGCTATTAAAAATTGACCAGATCACTCATGATGATAAGTCAACATCTAAGATCTTTTTATACATCTAAATTCAACTTAGGTGAAATATTGCGGGGTTTTGGGGTTTTGGGGTTTTGGGGTTTTGGGG